AAAATCTATATAGTCAGGCTAGTACCATGGGACATTCGGTGTAGCATTATACTGGTTGGTACCATGGGTAATCCGGTATAACACATTATGGGATTGTTACCATAGGACATCCAGGCAGTTTAACAACTCCTTAATGCTCGATAGAGTATGGTTAGGAGTCAACGACGCCTTTATTACAAGTGTATGAAGAGGAAAAACCATAGTCTTAAGTGGGTTAGATTACATTTGGTTGGGTGTTTCTACCACTGAAAGTGTGCTCAGGTCAACAAGTAGTTTATCTAAGAAAGCCTATAGTTTTATGTCAAGGAGCATTGGAGGTTTGGTGGTTAGACAATCATGCTAGTGTGTATTTGTGTGGAATTGTTTTGAAAAGAGGAATCATTTCATATTTTGATATATATGTGATATTACTTTATTTTGTTACTTTGGCATGGTTATATGTGGAAATAAGCATTTAATGAGCTATATTAATTACTGAGATTTTTATCTCATCTGTGGTTATTTATATTTTTTAGGCATTGGTACTAGTGGTTTGAAGGGGAAAGACGTTAGCTGAGTTGAGATCTCTTACTAAGCCTTTGTAAGGTTTTGGTATAATGAATTTGGTTGTTATTAGTTTTGTATATGTATAAGTTGCCATGGGATTTGTACATGTGCATAAAGATATATTGTGGTATGTTTTATAATTTTGAGCTCCTTAGTCCTTGTATATGTGTGAATGATGAAATATTTAGATGGCCTAGTAGATGGATGTAATTATATATGAATATGAGATGGGTGGGGATTATATGTAGTGATTTGACCATATATGAGATTAAAGAAATGAAAATATGAATTTGGCCCAAAAGGTGAAATGGGCGATTTATAAGCCAAAATTGTGTATGTGTGTTATATTGTGCATGTGTATGGTTAATTAGGTGTATATTGTCTATTTAGACTTGGTCAAGGCCTAAAAAGTGGCTAATAACATTTGGTTTTGAATTGAGATACTTGAGTAGCAAAAATTTAGTAGAAACTGGTCAAAATGCACTTGGGTGTCTAATTTTTGATAAAAATATCGGCTTGAGATGAAACTAGTATCATTAGTTAGATTTCAAAACAAGCGTTATGTGCAAACATCATATGTGAAAATGGCGTGCATCTGAATTTTGTATCAGAAACTGCTATTTGACAGTAAATTCAGGTGGGTGTGCTACGATGCATGTACTCGCAAGCTGCAGCACATGGCATAGAGTGAGCGACTGTAGCCTCTATGCCATATGCAGTGGCGCATATGGCATGAACCACAATGCACAGTGCCAAATTTCACTTTGTTTTTTCAATGATACACATGTTTTCTAGATCCTTGATGCACATAGGTTTATTGCTTCCACTGTGTGTAATAAGATCTATACTTACGTGAGTTATAATGATTTTTGAAAATTTTTGGGATCCTAATGTTTTAAATATTTACAACTTAAATGATTTCAAAGTAATTAGATTAATTGTAGTGGAGCGCATAGTAATGTTAGTGAGAGCATTACACATGTCATTGGATAATCCTAAATGCCTTGGTCAAGTTAGAGTTTTTAGCTTCAATGTTATGAAAAAAATAAATATTTGGATCACAAAAGAAGATGTGGGTGCAAGGGTTGAGATTGCCATACTGAAAGAGGAGCTATCTAGGCAACAAGATATGATTGAAACCTTGCTAAGGGACAGGGAGAGGTAAAAAGGGGGAAGTTCATATTATCTCGAACTGGAAAGGTAGTTACAATGTATTGCAGCCTATTAAAAATCTCCCTGAGATAAAATATTATTAATTTATTTAACTTATTTTTCACTATTTCTATTTTTCATGACTTTAATATAGTATATTACTTATTAATATAAGGTGAGAATATATGTAAGTTGTTGGCAAATAGCCTAAATCATCATGTGGTTGCTATTAATTGAGTGTTCAATTTGTTGTAAGACATATTACATAATATGCCACTCCCTGTGTTCTATGTACGGGTTGCTATTGATGTGCCAAAAGATTTGAACTATCTACTACCTATTCCCATCGAGGACCTAGGGATTGTTAGAGAGGCTAAAAATGAGTTTTGTTGGATGGCAAGCTAGTTAATTTAGGATACCAAGTCTAGAAAAAGCTAGTAAATATGCACAATCTAAGAAAAAGATGATACCCCGATTTAAGCACTCCTAAAAAAGGTAGTCTCCCATAAAGTTGTGAACAAATAAGAGCCTTAATTACTAAACCAACACAAAAATTTACTTCAGGCATATGCAATGATTCATATGTCTAATCCCTCAATCCTGCAAATCCCGTTCGAGGCTGGTATATATGGTAAAGACTAATATGATATGTTTTCGCTTAATATTATTGATGAAGTGCTTCAACATGATAGGATTAGCCTCACTGTTCTCAGCTTTTACATACGGTAATTTTTTTTCCATATATGAATAGTTAGTATTCTAAATACAAGCTAATCTATTTGAAAAATTTATGGTAAGTGCTTGTATGAAAAATTTATTATTCCTTTTAATTTACAAATAAAGTTCATCTACGTTAGTCCTCATGAGATTGGTGCACATGCCTTAATTAAAAATGAAAAAAAATTTAGAACAAGCAAAGGCATTAAGTGAAAATTTTAAAGCAAGAGCTCGAAATAGAATATTATTCATAATACCATATTGTCAAGGGTGACCTACTTCTCACTTATCTTAATGATTTTTTATTATTAATTTAATCAATTAATTATAATTTTGGAATACTTGTTAATACTATTAGGAACCATTTAGTGTTGATCGCCACTGAACCATTTGACAACACTCCAAAAATATATTATCTCGATTCTCTTGGAGGGCAACTAGGGAATTGATCAATTTTATTGGAGTTAATTAATATGTAAATGCAAAAAGTATTTCACATGTTTATTTGTTTATTTAAATTCCATTCTGACATATTTTTTCCTTATTTATTAGGGTGATTGTGTTATATCGCACAAACACAAAACAATCAATTAGAAGGTCCTTATAAATTTTGATGCTGCCTACACTTAAAATATAATAAAAGTAATTGAAATCATTTATTGAATTGAAATATAATGTATTAACATGTATTCATTGGTTCTTTAATTTGTAGTATCCAAGACAAATGAAAAATAGCTTGGATTGTGGCTTCTATGTCATGAAATTTATGAAGGACATCATTATCCATAACGAGAGCATAATTCTTAAAATAGTATGTCAAAAAATATTCACTTTTCAATTACAAAAAAATTAACATATTAAAATTAATTTATGGTTGATCATTTATATATTGCAATACTATGACGATTCTTATGTTGAAGAATTCATGAATGTTGAAATGAATGAGGCTATAGAAGAATGATATCAATTTTTAAGTGTGGACCTCACACAAAGAAGATCAATAGAACTATTTAGAAGAAGTAGCTAGGATGTTTTTATATTTAATTGCTAGTTTACTTTGGAAAATAGTTTACTTTATAAAATTACATTTGTTTACTTAATAGATCAGTAGAAGAGATGTTCATTGATTAATTTTGCAATTGAATACAATAAATTCTATTGATATTCAAATACGTAAATGTTGGAATATTTGTCTACTGCTATTTTGATTTCTTTTTGCAGGGAGTTGATATAAATAATAGCTCTCGTATATAAAAAAACCATATAATAAATGATGGGTAAATATATAACCATCATTTATCTTATTTATCTTATCCTTCGTGTATTCATTCCCCTGACAGCGTTAACACTTAAAAATTATATTTTAAATGAGAGTTATATAAAAGAAGAGGAAATTGCAAATTTTTCTTGTGTGCATAACAGAGGAGAGGATGTAAAAGAAGTAATGCATATAACTACCTATTACTAAGAGAGGAGAAGATGATGACCCAGATAATAATCCACTCCACTAATTCTTCACCCATATTTTTTGCGCATGAGAGCACATGAGAGTAGATTTTTCACATGTAAAAACAAGAACGAAGAACACGATATAAGTTGTTTTTCTATTACCTTTTAGTGTTTAGTGAAAGGGTAATTTTGTAAGGTTAGATATATTTTTTATCCCTTAATTAGAATTTTAAAATTTTATAGTTTCTAATTAAAATTAATGTCCTTAGGGGATCCTTAATTGTCATTTTCCCTTAGTTATAGCAAGATTATATATGTTGGAAAGAGTTAGATTACCAAAAATTTAAACAAAGATGCAAGGAAAAAGAAAACATGGCAAGTTTTAAATGTAGCCAAATAATTAAAGGCAAAATAAGAGCTAGTTTGTTAATTTTATTTTATGAAAAAAATCACTTATTTTTTTGAAAAAAAATCTATTTTATGAGATTTTATTGTGTTTGTTTAAATTTTTAAAAATATTCAAAATTTTGCAAACAATATATTTATGATTATTTTGATGTGTAGCTTTTGAAAATAATATGATAGAGTATATGGGAGGGAATGTCAAATATCATAAAATTTTACAATAATTATAGAATAAATTATTTTTATAAAGCAGAATTATCAATGAAAATACTATATAATCTAAAAATAACTAACTAATAATATTTTTTATTGTACTTACCAAACAAAAATAATATCTACTTTTTATAAAATCCCTACAAATTTATAAAATTTTTAAACTACATAAAGATTACTTATTTTTTTAGTCTTAAATAAATTAAAGGTGCACTAAATAAATAAATAAAGAAACAAGCTAAGGCACAAACACTAAAACGCAATGGAAGAAACAGTAATCTACCAAATATAACATTCCAAGTTTTCAGTAACAAGAGACAAACAAAAGGATCCATCGGAGACATAGTCAACCAACAACCAAACAAAGACTCAATATATAATAAGTAATACAAGCTTGGCAAAGTTTCTCAGTCTAGCCAAATTTATCTAAACCAAAAGGGAAATTATGAAAACAAAGGAACAACGTATCAGTACAAAAATAAGTGTCTGTCATATGAAACTATGAACAAGGTCGTTCATTACTCCTCATGGAGAGCATAATCCATTTCATCACGTCGAGATCGAAAACACCAATCAATGTTGCAAAGCTTAGCTCCAAGAGGACCTCGATTTTCAGGAAGTGAGATGACTCTAATAACTTGATTTTTCAAAGACACAAGCTTGCACAGAGGAGAATTGCGACTAATGAGATACACACAATTGCTATGAAATCCCCACATGCCTGGATTGCTCAATGAATAGCATTTTGAATTCACACCCAAAAACAAAGCACGATCTCCCAACAATTCGATCTTAAACCAAGCCATCTCAGACAAGTCTATCATGAAAATTTCCACCTCCAAAGTTGGCAAAACAAGAACCACTAGAAGCTTATCATCCGTGCTCACCAACTTCAAATTCGACGTGGCGAAAATGGGTTTGTTGCTAAATTCCAGAATCTTCAAGCTATGATTATTATTATTCAGCATCACCACTCCTATCTCAGCTTCATCAGTAATAGCATATAGAGTATTTCGACAAACCACCACGTCCATGACCCTCCAAGGTGTTCCCCATCTCGAATATATGACCCAGCTCGAGTTTCGAGATTGATACACGTGCATGTTGAATGACCATGTACACAAGGCCACGAGGACAAACTCTTCAGATGAGTTTGTAGCAAATGCTAGTGTGGCTCGATCATATAAGTCTATGACACAACCTTGATCAGGTGAGCCAGAGATTGTCATTTTCTTTCTAGCGAATGGGTTTACAAGCACGACTGCATTGTCTTGGCCAGCCATTACCATGTATCCACTGGAAAACCCTGCAAGGGAAAATCCTGAGAAGAAAGGAAGCAGTGTGTTGTAGATTCTTTCATCAGATATGCTAAAGAAGGAACAAGCTCTTTTAGCATGCGGTGTCTTTTGAACAATTAACGGCGCATGAGATGCCATGAATTCACGCCAAAAATCAGAATGAAACATCCTCCAATCCTTGCACACTTCGCCAAAGGAGAATAGGTCATCAATATCTAGTTTCTTGGCAATTGAATCAAGAACATCAGAAGGAAGTTCTGGAGACTCAATTCCCTTTTTTTATCAATTTTCCTGCTTATGACAAGATCATCAACCATTGGTTATTCGTTACTTCAATACAAGGAAAACAACATATACCATATATTTTCATTTTATCAGGACAAAAATAATAAAATTAAATAAGAAGATTAGTAAAGAATCGTTAATGTAGTAGTTCTCAAACAGTAGAAGTTGGAATCTTATTTTAAATTGAACTATGAGGCTTCCTCATAATTTTTTTTTTTAAATTCCTGCATATCACGAACTAGCCCTCAACGTTCCTGATAAATAGATTTCCATTCATACTAGTTTTCAGATTTAGTTGTGTAACTGGTAACCGAAAAGTAACTTGGTCAGAGGCATTGTCCCTTTTACCAGGAGAAATGGAATGAGGAAAAGGGAAAAGGGGCAAAAGAAATGATAAGTAATAATAATTCTTGGTGAATGACAGTGGGAGAAAAATTAACAAATGACAGCCCTTTCATCTTGTTATCCCATTCTTTTCCTGCCAAATTTATTGCATAAGTAGCAAAGCTTAATTGGTTTCCAAGATGATTTGTATCAAATAAGGATTGAATTGACAACAACCAATTCTCGTTATAATTATTTAAATTGGCCTATATTTCTGGTTATCATCTGGAATCAAATGACAGACAAAGGAAGTGAACACAAGTCAAGAAACTTATGGCCTGTTTGTTTTCTATTTTAAAAACTGTTTTTTGTTTTTGAAAATAAAAAAATTTAAAAATTTATTTAGATAAGTGTTTTTCATGTAGTTATTTTCAAACTGTTTTCATTTTTTGTTTTTAAAAAGAAAAAATAAAGTTGTTTTCATTTTATTTTTCTTATTTTTAAAATATACTACATTTGATTATTAGAAATTACAGTTAACTTGATCAATTTTTATTATTAATTACTACCATTATTTTTCTATAATCATCCCTGTTAGTCCATTTTTTAATTCTAATTTTTTTTAATTGATACAAACAAACGGATCATTTTAATTTGTTTTAAAATTAATTTTAAAAACTATATTTTAAAATAGTTTTAAAAAATAAAAAATGAGAACAATAACCGGGCCCTTATATTTGCATTATTTGTTTGAAGATAACCCTCGAGAATAGTATAAGTTGATAGTATAGGCTGGATATTTATTTAATATATATATATATATATCAACTATATCTGATCATCAACTGGACAAACCACATTCAAGGCCCTATATGGGGAAGACATATCGTCCATATTCAAGTGGAAGGGCAACTCAGCAGCTGAGGAGGAGGTGAATGGAAACTCAAGGGAACAATATTCAGTCTTGAACTGAAGCAACGGGAAAAGTTTGAAGAATAATATATGAAGAATTGTGCTGATCACATAAGGGAAATCCATTTTCGTGTTTGTGATTTGGTATGTCTCAAATTTAGATCGACCCCACAAAATTGAATCCTTCACTAAGAATCTAAAAAAAAAAAAAAAGCGGGCTCTTAGTATTATGGTTCCCAAAGAGTGATGGAAAGACATGAAGCCTCCAAGCTAGAACTTGCTAAGACAGCAAGAATGCATCTTGTATGGCATTTTTGTCAGGCGTGCAACCATTAAACCTCACTATCCCAACTCAAGAAACACCATTTTCCATGCTCAGAGCTGCAAGTAGTCAGAAGAGGTGAAGGACGCTTTGAATGTTACCAAGTAGAAACAATGATTAAAAGGAATGGCCTACTTCACTTTTAGAGTACATGAGAAAAATATGACATCATTAAAGCTAAATTCCCTGTTTTCTCCTCTAAAACAATGTTAGACTGATTGGGGGGTAATTAATGAGGGGCGACAAACTTCAGGACCCAAAGAGTGGAAGATATACGAGAGAAGAAAAAAATTAGGCTTAAGGGATTAATTCGAGATTACAAACCAACAACTTGTTTGAGATTATCAAATCCGATCCCTTAGTTGTTTAGGCTGCTAAGGTTTGACTTTTTTTTTTTTTTTCCTTAGCTTGATTCTTGGTCCTCTAAGCCTATAATTCATTAAGGTGAGTTTTGATCCTCTTCTATTCAAGTTTCTCTTCTTTTTCCTACCAATTAGTATGATGTTTGTGGCCTGTGATTTGGATTGATGAAGATATATTTCGTTTCTTGAACTGCCATGCTTATTTTCTAACCTTAAGATGCATGTTTTGATGGTTGAAAAGGTTGTTTATTATTATATTAATGACTTTGTTAGAACTCCAAACCCTATATATAGATTGTTGAAATTGACTTGGAATGTTGGAATCTTGGATTGAGGATGATAATAGAGGCTTGTGTTAGAAATGATTAATGGAACACGAATTTTAGGTGGTTTGATGGTTTTTGTTGCCTTTTTTCATTTTTACCTGAATTTTGATAGAATTTTGGGTGATTTTTTAAAATTCAAATTCTACAGGTTGTTTGATTGGAAAGGTTTTTATCATTTGATTCCTTGGATGACATGTGTTTTATGTTTAAAATTTCATGAAAATTGGACTTGGTCTTGAAATCTTTAAGTTTACTCAATATTTGCTCATTTGGGACTTTTAGATTTGTAAATAAGTCGGTAAATTGGCCTTATGGGCCTTTTTCACGGACTTTAATGTTATGTTTGGACATCTTATATGACATATACAAGTATTCGGCTCCCGTAGTCTAAATTTTGGACATCTTTTGCCTATAATTTTTTCTCATTTGTGCTTGACCATGAACTTAATTATTCCCTTCTTTACAGTCTAAACAAGCCAAGATCACAAAAAATGGATCCTGCAGGACTCACAGCAAAGCTGGATAAAAGATGAATCAAATTGTTGTTTCTAAGCTTATAATTTTTCTCATGTAGATAACTTCATAAGGTTTTCAATGAGTCGTAAATCACATTAATAGAAGTAATATAACAAAAGATATTAATTTTTCCAAGTCAAGTTATGGAAACTGGATCCAGTATACTGGGTAGATAAGAGTTTTAAAAAATTAAGTAAACTCTGTTAAATGGTCAGCTTAATCTTTTGTGATAGGGGACACATATAGTTTTTAAACTAATCCAATATCATTTCGATATGTAAATCTGAATATATAAATGTTCGAAGTAAAAGTAATAAATTTAGAAAAGTTGTAAGGACAAATGAAAGTCTTATAGTTTTTGGAATAAATTGTAATATAGGGAAAATTCAGTCTAGTTTACTATTTTCCTATATAAAGGAGTTACAGAGCTTTAAATATATGCTTTTGGTTATTTATTTATTTAGTTTACGTAATTGTTCATAAATAACTTGGAATTCTCTTCTATGATTATAGGAAAGCTAAGAGACCCTTTAGAAATGTGTTGTCATATTTTTGGCATCAGAGTAGATAAAAATATCTGGACTCTATAAAAGGTGGGGAAAGACAAGCTTTCATTTTTTTTATGGTAAAAAAAAAATCATTTGTACCCATTATTTCACAAGGGGAAAAAAGAAGAAAACCTGGGATTGATTGAGTTTCAACTATTCAATTTCATCAATAAGATAGGAAAACTTACTTCACATTTGGAATTGCACATAAAAGACTAATTATCTCAAAGTGGTTTACGTAAAATTTTGAGAAAATGAAAATGACTTCTATCTTATTTCTAGCAATTAAGTTAGAACACTCTGGTTATGGGAAACCTCATATAATAGGAGATGTTAGGATGATTTTAGTATTAGTTATTTGTAATGTCTCGTTTGTGGTTATTTACAGGAAACATGAGTACTGAAATTTCCCAAGAGCTAAAGTTAGAATCTACAAAAGAAAAAAGTTACCGAGAGAGAGTACCAATTGATGTTAACTTTAATGGCAGTAAGAACTCACGGCATAAAGTGTCAAGGGAGGAACAGACTAAAGGGATTCAATCTAGTGATTGAGTTAGAAGAAGAGGATGCTGAAGAGAGGAGTTTAGTTGGCTCCAACACTGAGGCAATAAAAGAGTCGGAGAAAAATGCAAATGACGACCTTGAGGGATTCTTAAAGTGGCCAGTTCAAAATGAAGAGGAGATACAAATAAAGTTTTAGAGGTATGTTGAGAGACCTTATATTGAATACGGTTATAATTTGATTTGTTTAAATGACTTCTTAGCCTGTACACTAAATGTGTACAAGTTTTCATACGTGAATAATCATATCTTTGCAAAATAAAGTTGGATAGATGCCTTATTAGGTGTTCTTCCTTGAGAGAATTATTGGGAGACGCTGAAGGCCCAAATCAAGGCAAATGGTGCTCACACATTTAATGAGTGTGTAGGAGAGATAGAGAGGCAAAGTAAGAGGAAGTTCAAGGGTTTTAACTGAATCGGATCCTTAATGTTTTGATGTATGTTAAACTTGGCAAAGTTATCCTTGTAAATATTTATGTCATGATGACTTTTGATATAAATTATGTAAAATATAACTAGACACTCTGTAATGACTTTCGATGCAATATAATGTAATTGTTTAATGTATGCATATCTTGTGTCAATCTTCTTGCATAATTAAAACCCTAATCATACTAATACTGCTTGCTTAGGTAAAATTCTCTATTGTTAACTTAGTATGAGATCACAAATGGTTAATACCCGAAGTGGTGGAAACTGAAGTCAAGGTCAACCTCAAGGTAATTGAAGTAAAAGGAATTCTCAAGATCCACAACTAGATCCTTTGCAAGTTCTTATGACTCATCTTGAACAATAGCATAGACTTATTGAAAAATTACAAGAAGTCACTAATCAAAGGCAGAATAGGGAAGGGAAGGAGATATACAAGAGAAACCTATTTATATGCTACAGCCCAATATTCAAGAGCCATAGAAACTGCCACAACCTCCCAAACATATTAGAGAACCTTTAGATGGGAGAATGATGCATTAACAAGCTATGGAAAAATTCTGTAAACATAAACCCCCATCATTTGATATGAAATTCAATACAGAAGATTGGATCATTCAGATTGAGAAAATTTTTAAAATTATGGGGTATACTACTACAAAACAAAAATAACGCCACTTATATACTAAAGAAAGATGCAAATTGATGGTGGAGAAATACAAAGCTTATTTTACAACCGAGAGAAACACTATGCTTACTCTGGGATTGTTCATAGAGCAATTTCATGAAAAGTATTTTCCTTTGTCAGTTAGGGATGAAATTAAAAAGAAATAGTTGGAAGGCAAAACGGTAGATGAATATGTAGATAAGAATATTCAAAATAATGATGAATGATGGAATGCTAGGAAGTTAGAAAGGGGTTTGTTGCCCATCATTCGAGAAATAGTTGCATCGATGCAAATAAGAACTTTTAATACTTTGGTAAAGGTTTGCAAGATATCATTGAAAGAAATTTCAACCTAATGGCTAGTATTGAAATAGGACTTGTAAGAGCACCTTTAGCTAAGGATAAAAGCTAAAGATATATCCAAGACAATTTTTAGAACCAGGTATGAACATTATGAGTTTATAATAATGCCATTTGAATTAATCAATGCACTTGTGATATGTATGGATTATATGAATAGAATTTCTAGACCATACTTAGATCAATTTGTTGTAATGTTCATATATGACATACTAGTATACTTCAAGTCTTCTAAGGAGTATGAGAGGAATTTGAGAATAGTTCTAGCCACTTTGAGAGGAAAACAATTATTTTCTAAACAGTGTGTTTTGGCTTAACAAAGTTCAATTGTTTGGTCATATACTTTCATAAAAAGAGGTATGGTAGATCCCAATAAAGTAAAAGCAGTCTTTTAGTGGGAGAGACCTAAGATAGTTATAGAAATTAGAAGCTTTCTAGATTTAGCAAGCCACTATCGAAAGTTCAGTAATAACTTTTCTCAATTAGCCTTGCCACCTACTAGACTTACCAGAAAAGGCAAACCATGAATTGAGTTTTCAAGAATTAAAGAATAAGCTAACCTCCTCCACTATCTTCATAATTCCTAATTCTAAAGAAATCTATGTAGTTTATAATGATGCTTCAAAGAAAGGATAAGGATGTATATTAATGCAACAAGGAAGTTCGTAGTAACATATATATGCCTTTGGATAATTGAGGTCACATGAAGAAAACTATCACACATAATTTAGAATTTGCAATTGTGGTTTATAGTCTCAAGATCTAGAAGCATTATCTTTACAGATCGTAGAGTTTCATAGCAATCATAAGAGTCTCAAGTATCTATTTTATTATAAAGAGCTAAATATAAGGTAAAGGAGATAAATGAAATTTCAAAAAGATTATGATTTTACATTAAAGTACCATCCTGGTAAATCAAACATAAGGTTGATGCCTTGAGTAGGAAGTTTATTCATATGGCCTGTTTGATGTGATAAAAGAGCAAAAGTTGATTAAGTGTTTCTAGATATGAATCTCTCATGCCATTTATATACA